CATAGAAGAATAAGTTAATTAAATGAAAAAAAAATTTAAGCAGAAAGAAAAACCTGTAAATAGATCAAGGTCTGATTTTTGATCTCTAGGTGTGTCCTTCAGTCAAGACCGATGGGGTACCATGCTCTGGCCCCCAAATCTGTCCTTTTTACTCCCGCGGGGGCTCTTTGCTCTGTTCCCACAGTTGCTTTGCCGCATGCTTTTTGTGGTTTGCCTCGGTGTCTCAGGGTCAGTCTGGGCCAGTCCCAACACTGAGTCTCCAGCGTTGTCCCCCTTAGAGCCCGAGGCCATCAAAGAATGGCGTGTCTCATGGTGGGATCAGCCATATTGTCCACTCGCTTAATAACGTCCAGTTTCCTTGATTTTGTATTTCATAAATTTTATGTCTTGATTGTTAATGGATGTTTGCACCTATTCCAGTTCATTTTGAATCATGCTTCATCAACACATGGCCCCCTGCGTCCCCCCCATTTTTTTCCATCTGTATCATTGATGTTGACTTTACTTTGAGGATATACTTCTTCCCCAGTTGTATTTTGAGTGCCTTCCAACGGAGGGGCTCATCTTGTGGTACTAGATATGCAATGTTTTATTTAGAAGGTTGTCAGTAGCTAATTCCTCAGAAGTGGTCACCATGGGGGAGTTGCCGATATTTGAAATACTGGGGGTAAAGCTTCTAGCCTCACAAGAATATATAAACCATACTACTACAAACTGGCAGGCAAGTGTGGTGTTTATGTGTGGTATGCAAATAATAAAAGTAGCATGCTTTAATGCAAGCCCTTGTGCCATAAAAATCATTGTGAGCCTAGGTCTAGTTTAATGTTTTCACACTAGAATCAAAGAATGTTAGCGATGTAACCTTGCCTCTTTTTGGTTTGGTTAGTCTGTCTGTGAGAGAAGTTAGGCCCTAATGGCATAGGGGGCTACAAGTTATGCTGATATTGAAAGGTCAGCAGTTCAAACCCTACAACCATACCCAGAGGGAGAAAATTGAGGCCGATAGCTCCTGCAAAGATGGACAGTGTCAGAAAGTCAATGGACCAGTTATCTTCTGACCTATTGGGTTGTGATGAATTGGAATCAACTCAGTGACACTGGGTTTGACTTTTAGAAGCCATGTAACTTCTTGGTGAAAAGAGGCCCCCCCATATCTGGTCTCAGTTGCGTTCATCAAACATCAGTGGAGGGCCTCTGACAAACTAAGTATTGTGTTAGTCCCTGGGTAGACTTTGGTGATTATTATCACAGCCCACAGAGAGAGCACACCGACTCCTCAAGTAATCTGTTTCTCTGATAAAAAAGCAGATTAAATTTTACATGTTAAGTGCTAAACCTTAGGTCAGAAGGATTCTCAAGCCTGTATTCTGTAGAAGCAGACGGCCACATCCTTCTCCCATGGAGTGGCTTTTAGATGTGACCCAAGTAGCTTCTGGCTAACAGCTGATTGCTAAGTTACTGCACTACCATGACATGACTCCTTAGTGCTGTGGTTTACGGGGGGCATGGTGTGCTTGAAGCACTTACACATGAAAATCAAGGATTGTACCCTTCAATATGGATTACTGTATATACTCATGTATAAGCTGAGTTTTCCATCACATTTTTATGCAGTTTTTGTGGTAAAATTAGGTGCCTCAGCTGATATTTGGGTCGACTTAGACTTGAGTATATAGGTGCATCTTAAGGTAAAACTACACACATCCTCATCATGTACTCTGCCACATCATCCTGCCTTGTTATATATTTCATAGCATTTATAATTGCTTAAATTTTCTTGATGTCTCCTTTTTATTTCCTCTCCAAAAGTATAAACTCTTACTACATAAACCATGTCCGATTTATTCCTTGCATTATGTCTATTAGAGCCATGCTTTAAATTCAGGAGTGTATTTTTAACAAAGGGCCTAGGTGGCGCTGTTAGGTAATTGTTGGATTGCTAACTGCAAGGACATTGGTTCAAACTCACTGCTCTCAGCGAGAACAATGAGATGATCCTGCTGAAAATTTACAGCCTCGGATATCCTACATAGGTCACCATGATTTAGAATTGACTTAATGACAGCGGGTTTGGGTTTTGGGGTTTATTATCCAACAAAATTGTTACTATTTTTATTGATCGTCCTGATGTCATCTTGTTGATTAGGACTAATAGTGACCTACGTGTGTTAGTCTGGGTTGACCAGAGAAATAAATCCAGAGGCACTCAAGTGTGTAAGAGAAAATTATATCAAAGAGCAATTGTACTTTAAGAAAACATTCCAGGGCAGTGGTGCTGGGAGTCTCGCAGTGGGCA